ACTGCCTCAGCAACCCAAGGAGGGGTGGATGGCAGTGGATAATACAATGTAAGTGCTATGAAATAGCACTTAATACTGCCTCTTAGTCTTTGACCACTTCACTGCTTCCCTGTGTCCCACTCCATAGTATTTTCCATCTATGGTTAGTTGAATCTGTGGATGTGAAACCCATGGATGCAGGGAGGCTGATTGTATAAACCACAAACTATGAGCCTCTCCCCATGTCACTGAATATTTTTCTAACATTGTAAATATAGTTGTAAATAGCCACCTAACAATATCTATTACCTTCCGTATTACACCATATTCATTAAAAAAAAAAAAAAAACTACTCTTGTTTGGGTGGACATTTAGAATGCTTTTTTTTTCTTAATTTTAAAAATTTATTGTGCTTTGGGTGCAAATTTACAGAGCAAATTTGTTTTACAGTCAACTGTTCGTGCACATTTGATTTCACGCCCTGATTACATTTACAATGCTTTGTTTTTAAACAGTGCTCCGATGAACATCTTTTTAGACAGACCTTTGTAAGCACCCATGATTCTTTCCCTAGGAAAGAAACTGGAACTACTGAGTCAAAGAATGTTCAGATCTTGTTAAGGGTTTCAACACACGGTGCCACATTGTCTTCCAGAAAGTTTGTACCTATTTCCACTGCCACTAGCAGTGTGAGTGGCACCTAGGAGTGTCTCTTTTCCACAAAACAATAGGTAGATGCTACAGGGCAACAGCGAATAGATGGAGGAAGTTTTTAAAGATGAGAGAATCCTGCAGATGCTTATATGCTAAAAGGAAGAAGCAGAGAAGAGGTAACATGGTGATAAAGGCCAACTGAGAAGGGAATCACTGACTGAGTAGCAACCCCTGGAGGCAGAGCACAGAGCAAGCAGCTGGGCTTGCCCAGGATGGGAAGCTAGACAGGGGTTCTCCCCTACTCCAGGTACCTGGCCAACCCATTTGGAGTTAGGTACACATGCTTTGAGGAGCTCTGGTAGCATAGTGCCTAAGGCACTTGACTGCTAACCAGAAGGTTGGCAGTTCAAACCCACCAGCCACTCCTTGGAAGGAAGACGGGGCAATCTACTTCCGTAGTGATACTGCCTTGGAAACCCAGGGAGTGGTTACTATGAGTCGGGTCAGGTCAGACTTGACAGCACATAACAACAACAACAAGAGCACATGCTTTGTGTTTCCCAAGCTGCATAGACTGACTTCTACCTTAATACTTATCACACGACATTGTTTTTTTTTTTTTTTTTTTCCTTTGTACAAGGGATTTATCCTTGAGGACTAGAATTTTATTCTTATATTCCCAGAATCTATCCCAGTGCTTGCGTGCAGCAGGTACTCAATAAAGCTTTATTAAAGGAACAACAGATGGATTCAACTAAATTGTTGTGGGGGAGGGGGACTTGAGATATCTGCTGGCCAGAGGTGAAGTCTTAAAATAGGCATGACAGAGATGAAGGGAAAAAGGAACGTTTGGCTAGGGTTGGACAGAGGCTGGAAAGGCTCAGTGGCAGGGAAGAAAAGTTGGATGTTGAGTCTGACGAGCTACAGCTTTGCGAAGTACGAACAGCAAAAGGACAAGACGCAGTGGCGTTAAGGGTGTTTTGAAAGAGGCTTTCGGGAGTTTTGTCTTTTTGTGTGTGGGTTTGTTTTTCTTTAACATTTTATTGTGGTTTGGGTTTGTTTTTTTTCTTTTTAACTGACAGGAGTGTATTTTTGAGGGTAGAGGGATTATAAGACAAAAGGAAAGAAAGAAGTCTGCAATTGGAACTGTATCATTGCCCAACACTGGCTCATTTAAATGTAATAATAACTAAAAACAACAGTGTTATTTTAATGGATCATAATTCCTTGGACATTTTTCATAACATAGTTTATGTGATGCTTACTTTCCTAAACCACTAATCTTAGGTATTTTTATAACTTTGTGTGAACAGAATGGTGAATGAATAAATTTCTAAATCCTGGAGGCTGCCTTAACTAAGTATGTATATAGTAAATCCATTTTATAAAATTTAAAAAGAACGTGCCCATTCCCTAACCACTAGATAGTATTCATTTCATGTTTGCAGATCTGATAGGCAAGAGGGTGATGATGGCCTTTTAATTTGCATTTATTTGATCACTACTCAGTTTGCACATTTTTTATTAACCATTTTGTAAATTACTCGTATGTGCCCTTTGCTCTTTCTTCCTTTAAAAAACAAAAGTTTTTTTTTTTTTTTTTTTTTTAATTTCACAAGAATCTATAGAAAGTCTTTTGCAAAAAATTCAAATGCAGCCCCATGGGCCCAGTTCCCCTCCCCTTCTCAGATGGGCATTTTTGGAAACCAGCCTTCCAGGCCCTTTTCTATTCATCTGCAATCATGTCGTTTTGTTTTATTTGATGTACATATTGTATTCCAACCTATTTTTCACTCCTTAACCACACAGTCTTGGAGATCTTTTCAAGTCAATACACATGCTGGCCGCTTGGAGTCCCCCCCAGTTCTCTCCTGCTGTGGGCACTGCCCTTTGTAAGGGCTGAATTGTATTCCCGTGAGTATGGATTTGTTTAGCCACCTCTCCCGTTGTGGGTTGTTCTCAGTTTTCGACTGGAGTCAGCATTGCTGTGATGAACATGCTCACGTGTCCCTGCCTGTTGTGGACTGGGGAGCAATTTTTAAGGAGACTGCCAAATCGGCAATTCCTTTCCCACTAACAAGATTTGCAAGGACTTGTATCTCACTTATCTTACAGGCACTGGATATTATCAATCTTTAAATGCTCTCCCAATTGAGTGGGGGAATAATAATTTATTGTTGTTTTAGTTTATATTTCCCTGCTGGCTGGTGAGGTTGGGCACCATCATTCATTGAGCTGACAAATATTTGAGTGTCCATGATCTGTGAGGCACTCTACCAGGCATGATGGTGAACAAAACATGCTCCCCTGTCCGCACAGATGAAGGAAATTAAATATTTTAGCTGCAGATACTTTTCCCAACATTTTGCCTTTTACTTGTGTTGATGATTTTTTTTTTCTAACCAAATTGACACTCTTTCTATAGCCAGATCTATTAGTCTTTTTCTTTTATGCTTTTACCCTGAAAATGTTCTAATCCCAAAATAATATACATAATCACATATGACTTAAAAAAAAAAGAAAACAGGTATCTTGCAGTCATAAGAATAAGGGAAAAGGCCCAATTGGCCTGGGCCTGCCCGCTGTCAAAGGGGTAGACAACGGGCATTCTCTCTTCGCAGTGAAGCTCTCAGCCAGGGCCTAGGATTTGGGGAAGTTTCTTTCTTTTTTCATGCCCTCTGTGAAATTAAATAAAAGCCCTGTTGAGAAAGGGGAAATTGTTGCCTGGAAAACAAGGTAGAAGACTTCCTTTGTACAGGTAAGAGGAAACCTCCACGGGTAGAACACTCCATAGAGAGAGGCTGGGGTAATGGCCATAGGAGGTGGACCCCAGGACTCCTGAACCATCTCGACCATGTGACCCAATTGGTAATAGTTGTGGAGAGCCCAGGGTCCCCCAACAGAAGGACAGGAAAGCTGGCTGCTTAGAAGCCCCACCCTACTCTCTCCTGCAGTGGGTCCCACAGGTTCTAGGTCTGTTAGGGACCTTAGGACCTATTATCTATGTTCTTATAACTTTTTCCTATCACAGAAGTAACAGTTGCTCTGCGCAGAGAACGTGGAAGAACACAGAGAGAAGGAAAAAACCATGGAGTGATAGGTCTCGTCACATTTAAATCTAACAACTTCGATGCTTTGGTTCTGTGCACAAATCATTTATTTGTATTTGTGGAAACTGGGTTGCTTGAAAAGCATCCTCCTGAAGATGGATGGTGATCATTTTGACTCTGGGACCAGAGAAGCAAGTGAGAGAATGGGTACAGCTGGTGGCTAGTCCACCAGACTGGTGGCCACTGTTTAAGAGACCTTGCATCACTGAGGGGACCCAACCATAAATGGTACCAGCCTCAAGCATTTCTCCCTCCCTCAGCAATCATTTACTGAAGTGCCTATTTAAGGAAGGCAGTCCCGGTCTCAGTCCAGTTGAAATAGACACAAGCACTTCCTAAAATATGTGCACTACTAAGCAGAGATAGTGAGCCCTGGCCAGGCCGAAAGACATAGGAAGGGTATACCTAGCAGAAGGAACAGCACACGCAAATACCTGGAAGCAAAGGAAAGGAGGTCAGATTAAAAAAAAAAAAAACACTGCCATGGAGTCGGATGCGATTCAAAGCGACCCCTCCTTGGGTTTCCAAGGAGGTATCACTATGGAAGTAGATTGCCCAACCTTCCTTCTGAGGAGTGACTAGTGGGTTTGAACTGCCAGCCATCTGGTTAGCAGTCAAATGCCTTAGACACTACACCACCAGAGCTCCCAGGTCAGATCCAGCTACCTGGATGGAAATAACTTCCTAAGGCCAGAACCTCAGAAGGGAGAAGGTGGGTCAGGAGGCCAAAGAGTAGAGCAGAGACCAGGGTCTAAAAGCTTTGTCTGCCTTGTTGAGGAGTCTGGATTTCAGCCCATGAAGCCACTGAAGGGCATGATCAGAGTTGTGATTCTCAAAGATCATTCCAGACCCATCAGTGAGGTCCTCCTTGAAATGACAAAGGCAGGCAGGGGCAGGGCAGGTAGAGGCAGAGTTCATCACCCTTTAGGAGGATGAATAGGTAGATGGGTGGCAGGGGAGGAGACAACAAGGGTCACCACCTCCTGGCTGGAGACCTGGCTGGAGGGGCCCACCACTTAGCAGAGGAGGAGGAAGATAGGTGAAGGCTGAGGCTGGGGGCAGGCTAAGTCTACAAACCTTCCCGCTGGAGAAAGCACCTGAAGCTCAGGGTCAGTAGGTGGCCCAAAAAGCCAGAGGAGGAATGAGCTGGTCAGACAAGGCACAGGGAGGGCAGAAAAGGCCAGGGCCTGATCCTTTAGGGTTGGAGGGGGTCAGATAGAGGGAGCAAAAGCTGTGGCAGCAGCCTGGGTGTGGGGCTCACTGGATGCACCCCTCCACACGTAGCAGCAGGTAGTCCCTGAGGGCTGGGGGCAGTGGGAGCCGGGTGGCAGCCTGGCGGCAGCGGCCACCCAACTGAGCACGTACAGCGAGCCGGGCCAGGTGCTGCAACCGCCTTGGCTGGTTCACCATGCACAGAGCTGAGTGGTAGAAGGCTTCGTGCTCCTAGGTCAGGAGTGGAACAGGATTAGATGGCCCAATACTCTTTGTCCTCTCACCTAGGGGTGACCCAGTGGCAGGGGGAAGCCTGAGATTTTTGTAATATGCACCCACTTGGGTGTCTGGTGCATCTCAAGGCTCAGATTATGAAGCAGAGAGCTCCTATAAGAGTGATGTGGGCTGGGACCACAGTGCAGGGTCTTAGCTGGGTCTGTACCCACCCTCACCCCAGAAAGGCTGACATAGTGTTCATTGTCACAGGTGACTCCCTGATCAATGTCTGTGTAATGTCAGTGTAGGTGAAAGAGAGAGAGACTGGAGGGGGGTGTAGAACTAGAGGTCAGTCCGAGCTGTGAGGGGGCTGGAGGCCCTGGAACCCCGGGGCTTCACTCTGCCCATTCTCCTCCAGTCCCAGGGGCCCTCCTTTCCCTCTCCCCTGTAGGGCCCAGAAAAGAGCTCTGTCCCTGGGGTGGACATACCTGCCACAGTTTTGGAAGCACTGCCTCCACCCAGGTATCACAGGACGGAACACAAGGGTAGGCATTAAGCAGGACTTCCAGGGCCCGAGGGAAGGAGGCACACAGTTTCAGCATCTAGGAATCAAAAGAAAGTCTCAAGGCACCATGCCCCCCACAACCCAGGGCAACCTGAACCAAGTGTAACCCAACCCCTCTCCACTTTACACCCTAATTTGAGGACTAAGATTTGAGTCTCCATCTTTTTGCAAGCCTCTGTTTACTCCGACCTCCACATATGCTCCAATCTCTTGGCCAAGTTTCCTTGGAAGTTCTTTCTTCTCTCAGGTCCCTCTCCCCCTTCACATAGCACTCTGGGCCCCCTCCCAAGACAGAGACAGATCTCTGGCCCCTGAGGGTGGGTTGTCTGTTCCAGTCTCTTGGACCCCTCTCTTCCTGCTCACCTCAGGGCGCACGGGTTGGGCCCCATAGTCCAAGAGCGCTGCGAAGAGGACCTCAGGTTCCCAGTCAGGGGCATCCTGGATGGCCTGCAGCGCACAATCCATGGGTGTGTGGCCCGCTCCGTTGGGGACCCCAACGCGGGCCCCGTGGCGCAGCAGCAGTTCGGCTAGGCCCCCGCAGCCGTTGGCACAGGCATTGTGCAGCGGTGTGTGGAGCTTGCGGCCAGCGGCCTGAGCATCTGCCCCGGCCTCCAGAAGCAGACGTGCCACGGCCTCGTGCTGCCGGCCGCAGCCGGGGCGCTCGGCTGCCGCACACGCCGCGTTTAGGGGCGTCTCGCCCTGGCTGGTGCGCAGGCCCACGTCGGCACCGTGATCCAGGTAGAGGGCCACGTGCTCCTCCAGACCTTGCGCCGCTGCCACATGCAGGGGTGTCACCTCACTCTCCTGAGCTGCCAGGTTCACTGTGGCTCCCGCCTCCAGGAGCAACTTGGCACACCTGGGGGCAAGTGCAAGGTCCCAGGGCAAACCTTGAGGGTCGAAGGTCTGACTTAGGAACTCCCTGAACCTCCCTTCTCCAAGAAGCCTACTGTCCTTCCTCACCCCCTTTCTTCCCCGCCCCCCTTGCTTGGAGGTCCAGCCCAGTGTCTATCATCAGAATCAGAGAAACCGAGGACATACAGCAGTTAGAAGGCCCATGCAAGTCACCAGGAGCTCCTCTGGTTTTCAGATGAAAAACCTGGGCCCAGAAAAGTCTCAGTAAAGCCATGACACACAGCAGGTTAGTGGCTGTGTCGGAATTCAAACTCACTGTCCCAGACAGTCCTCAGAGTCTCACCTGGCAACTCCAGATTGGGACCCTAAGGCCTGGATCTCCTAACGTTTTGATAGTGCGAAACTTTGAAAGGATATTAATATGTATTTTTACGAAGCATAGAAAATTGAAAACTATGAGCTAAAAAGAAGAAAATAATAGATAATAAAATAATAGATAATAATAATAGATAATAAAAAATAATAGATAATAAAAAGCCAGGAACCTGGACAGAAGAGCAGTCAGCCCCAGGGTTACAGGTGAGGAGAGACAACTCAGGGATGCCCAGAGTAGCAGGCCGGAAGAGCAGGAGAAAGGGATAAAACCCAGGAAGCCAAAGAGAAGAGCAATCAGCCGAAGGGATTAGGTGAGGAGGGGAAACTCAGGGACGCCCAAAGAAGCAGGCC